CAGTTGTGAGGGGAGATTGTGAGGTGAGAGCAGGGGTAGCCATGAGGGGTGGCCATGAGAGATAGGGGCAGCAGTTATATAGTGTGGGCCACTACAAGAAGGCAAATGAGGGGTGTCTGTGCCTGGAAACAATGAGGGGCAGCCATGAGGGGAGATCAGTTTGCCCTTAGTGACATGGTTTAGTGGTGGGCTTGACAGCCCTAGGGTAACAGTTGGGCTCAATGATCTTAGAGGTCTTTTCCAACCTAGTTGATTCTATGATTATCTTCTAAGATTAGGAAAACACAAGTAAATTGCTGAATCCATTTTGCTGACTTGCCACATTTTTCTGAATGACTAACAAGAACACTTTCTCACCTGGAGGATGACATTCCATCAGCCATGTTGATTACCTTTATCCATGAATTAGAAACCTGAACTCAGTTTTGTAGGTTGAAAAGTACATCCACATTCATGCCTCATATCCTTAAGACATGTTTAGGTTACAATATTCCCAGTCAGGATTGTGTGGCTATCTTTTTAACTCATATAGATAGTGAATTCAAACCAGCCTATAATTAACCTTAATAAAGATGACATAAAGAGCAGATAGACAGTGTTTGCATCATGTAACTTGGGTACACAGCTAAGTAGCTTACCCCTTAGTCACATTACAGGTCAGCAGCACTACCAAGCACAGAGCTCAGATTGTTCGTATTCAAGTTCATGCTGGACACTGCTCCCACAGATACTTCTAGAATGACTGCTTGTTTATCTTAATGAAATAAGTAAAATATTTCCTCAGAAAAAAAAAATTATTAATGTTTAACATTTTTAGTTCGAGTGCTTCATTTACCAGTGTCACACATGGGTTACACAAACATAGATGGGGCCAGAAAAGCTTATTTCTTTTTGTATTGTCAAGGCACTTTGATTTGTTTCTTCTCCAAGGAACTTGGGAGTCTTTAAGAAGGGAAAGTGGTGGAAAGTAAGAATATAACCTTATGTCAGAAGGAAAAAAAAAAAGGTAACAATAATGTTTGCCTTTCAGGCAAAGTTACTCCTTGAGTTCACATGCATGATTGCTGCAATACAATTTTAACTGTCACATTACTGCAGGATTTTCTGATTTGGCATAGGGGTAACGTATCCATCAGGACCATTGTGTCCACTGAAAGAGAACACCACAGGGCTACCCCCCAGGGTGTGCAGAAATAAATCCAGAAAACACACAGACCTTGCTGGAATCCACAGTACCTGCCTCCAGTTCTAGGTACTTGAGGTGGAAGGTGTTCAGGTGGTGATGGCTGAAGATAAGTAGATTCAGATAAGCGAATATGTTTGGGTAGATCTCTGGGAGCCACTTTATTTTTCTTTCTTTATGGTTGGTTGGTTTTGTTTTAGTTCAGGCTTTTACTACTATAATTAACAGGGTTTCAGGTGTGGAATTAGGGTTGGGGTTTTTTAAAATTACTTGGACAGAGGAATTCTCACTTTCCTTTCCGATTTGTCAGCTACTCTCCACTGTTGGGCAGCTTCCTAATTTATTCCACAAGTTAGTATATTGATATTACTACATAAAAATGAGTAAATCGCCCTAAAATTCTGCAAAAGGAAAGACAGTAATTTAGACAATGTGAGAGTGTATCATTTTAAACATTTCCACAATATAACTTAAGTTTGTGATTGCCTGCTGTTGCAGGGGGACAATCCCACAGGGACCAGGATCAAATGACAGAGCCCTTAGCTTCACCACAAGAAATCAAAAGTATCTCAGTTATCCAAGGAAGGCAGAACTAGTAATTTTAACTGTAATGAAACACAAGTACCAGATAAAGACGCCCTGAACCCACCTTTTACAAATGTATAAAGAGACAAATTCCCTAGGAGAATATACAGCGTATGTACTGGAGCAAAGACCAAGCAAGAGATGCCACAGGGAGACAGCTAAAGGAAATAATTGTGCAACATGGCCAAGGCACTGTGGCTTCAGGCAGCCTGCAGCCCCATCTGCTCCATACAGCTTCAAGGCCTGCAGGGGTTAATACAGCTAACTTCTAGCTCCTCCACGGAGACAAAACTACGGAAGTGAATGTCTGCTTGTGGATATTTTCAACAAAAAAGAAAACATATGTCCCTCTGGAACTACGCTTGCTGTTTCTCCAGCAGATATGACACAGAGAACAGATAGCCTAGGCCTAGAACTAAATGCAAAAGCTTTATTCCAAGGAGCAATTAGAGAACAATTTAGGGAACACGCTCCAAATATAAAGGTTCTCAGATTAGCAAAGTAAAACCACAGAAAAGTTGAGAATGCTTATGTACACTAACTAGTAAAAAATTTAAAACCCACAAAATATCCTGGCTGTGAAAACCAGCAGTTTCTTACCTGTGTGAGGAACATTTCAACAAACTATGAAAGACAATTTAGAATTAAAATTAAAACCAGCCTTTTCTCTCCCAGATGTTATTTTGTGATTCTACACGTAACTAATAATGAGCAAAAACTTTAACAGGAGAATGGACTTAATTCAAAAGGCTGAAAAGAAAAATTGGTGATTACATTTATTAAAATAAAAATTTACTTTAAAAATTTAAACATGTGGATTAAAACCACAAGTGCGATAAATAAATAGTTGAGGCCAGTATGATGCCTATCTTTAAATTCAAGTCTTGAAACATGATGGTAGATGTTTCACAGTACAAATTCATTAGGTAGTTTGGACCCAAATGCAGAGCCAGTGCGTGCAGACACAATCCCACTGACTGCAGAAACTCAGCAGGAGTGCCTGTGGCTCGTAGGGGGCTGGAGCTGTACACTCTCCAGGGACAGAAGGCTAGGGGGGATCTTGAGAAGTCATCTAGTCCAACCTCTGCCAGAGGATGAACTGTGCCTTAAACACTGCCAATGTTTAAAGTTGTCTTTGTTTAAAAATATGTGTAAATGGTTTTATAATGTTCTCAGGAAATGTACTGCAGGGCACAAAGCTACCATCAGGATTATTTCTCCAAATGCCTAATCTAAAGGTAGGCAATTACTTCTTGCCCTATGAACAAGGGATTTGGGGAACAAGCTTTCGGTTCTGTATTTTTTACTTTCTTCACTGTAACAGCTTTTTACAAATGTGAATATTCCTTTAGTCGTTGCTCCTGCAGACTAAACAAACCAAATTCTTCCAGTTTTACATACAAAATGATATTGCCTAGCACTCTCATCTTTCTTGTCTCTCTCCACTGGACTCTTTCCAATTAGCCCCCAAGCTCCTCGAAGTGCGGTGCCTGAAACTGGATAAAGTATTCCAGCTCTGACCTCATTAGGTGTAATTAGAGTAAAAAGTTATTTCGTGTGAATTTAATGAGGAATGCTTATTTATTTAGCTTAGTAGAAAATATTTTTTCACAAAAACATTACATTGTTGACCCACAATTAGTTTGCCACTCAGCAGAACCTGCATCTCCTTTTTCATAGAACAACCACAACTAACCAGGTTTCTTACATCCTTTACCTGTTACTTAGTTCAGTTCAATACTTTCTATTTGCCCTAAATGAAGCAAATCTTACTTGTCACCTAATTTCAACAATTAATTTAAATAACTTCTTGTTCTAATCTATTCCTCTGATAAACTTTTAGCCTTTATTGGCCACACATGATTGTAAATGAAATATCTATTGCAAAATCCAATCTATTTTATAAAGTATATTGATTAGGCCTCCTTCTAATACTGTCCTAGGCGACAATGAATTGCTAACAACCCTAAATACAAAGCACTCTTGTAGATCCATTTAACCATGCTTCCTGCTTTATCAATGAAAATGTCACAAGCAGTTTTTACCAAAAACCTCTTACCCAAATCAAGACGTGTCACCTCTGCAGCTTCTCTGTTCACAAGTCAGTTATGCTGTCACAGATGAATTATTTGGTATGATTTATCTCATATGGTATTTTTCCTTTTCTCTGAAATGATCTATATATAAATAAAATTAAAAAAAAGAGGAGAACTCTGGAATTGAAAAATAGGTATAGGAACTATTTTCCCTCAGAATTAATACTAAAAATGACTACAATGCATATTTCAACTTGTGAAGATTGTCAGGATAATGAAAACCATGAAGATAACAGTGAGAATTCAGAACTAGTTCTGCACTTTCAGATTTTGTTCAGAGGTATCTGAAAGTAACACTTGCATGTTTGAAAGAAATGGACAGCCATGGTTTATGAAATCTCCATATTTTATGAGGAGTCATGGAGTCATGCTAAATCCAAATGTTACTCTATGTATTTGTCCTCTTCCAGTTTACTGTATGTATTGCCTTTTGTTGTTAGTAGTTAAAATCACTCATGACATGCTTCAGTCATAGGTATTCATACTCCTCCACACTGGCCCAATTTTTAGATCTCTGTTGAGGTGACTGTAGTTCCTACTTGCTAATTTCACTGTTCCACATCTGTTCAAAATTAAAGCCCAACTGCTAGTTCAATATATTGGTGCCATATGAGTCCTCCTTGTCTTAGGCATAAACTGGTCCATGTTATCTACACATCAAATATGTCAAAGCAATGTGCAGTTATCCTTATCCAATCGTATTTCCTTTACCAGAAATGCTTAGTTCTTTCAGATACACTCCCTGCATCTAGATTAAGATCCTGAAATAAAAGCCTTTATTCTTTATTTAGTAAAGGCCTTTATTCTTCTACAGAGTTCAGTGAATTCTTTGTCAGTCTGTTGGTGAACTACATTAGTTCTCTAGCTGTTAGATTTTATTGAAAACACTGCTGTCCTACATGCTCAGATGGAAGTAGTAAGCGTTTGATGAGTCTAGCACAAGTTAAGCTATATATAGAGAGGATATAATGGTCAGTGATGGTCACATGGTCGACTAGATTCTCCAGAGACACACTGATGCCACCATGCTAGCCAACTGTTCAAAGAGAAAAAGCCAGGATTCACAAACTTGATGGAGGTCCAGTAACAAATCCATTAAACACCACAGCTGCAACAGATTAATCTAAAACACTTCATTTCAGTTGGTCTTATTTTTAATATTGTACTTCATATTACAAATAAAATAAAATTCTAGTATTTAATTTGTAAAGTTTTCACATTTTCATTTAAAACCAACAGTAGGTTTAAAGCAAAAAGAGCTTTGTAGAGGCAACAGCTTTAACTTCAACAAGATTCTAATTTTATAATAGTAGAGGAAAATGTATAAACATAGGCATTCGTGATTTTCTTCTGTACACATCTACGTAAATTAGTTGATACAAATATAATTTACTATAGAAACATTTGTTTGTTTTTGCTACAGAGAGTTCTATGCTGGCATCACATACTAGTCAATTAATCTTACAAAGAGTGAGATCTATGCATTTTGCTTTCTAACCCCCAGTATGTCCATTGCCAGCAGTGGACTTCATGTTCAGAGAATCAGACTCACAGTGTCAGCAATCTAAAATTAAACTTCAGTATGAGATTATAAATAATAAAAAATTAATCCATCATTTTCATATCATAATCACCAGATTCTTAAATGCCATGATCCAAGCCAACCAAAATCAATGACAGTTTTCCCATTCACTTAGCTGGAATTCACCCACAGCTCCCAGTCACTGTAGATTCTCAGTTTTGCAATTTTATTACAGCATGAAGAGTTAAAAAGCACGTAGTGTCACAGCCTCAGTGTGAGAAGTAAAGCCTCTAAGTCTTTCTGGGCCTCTTTATCCTGAAAGAAACAGACAATCATGCATGAACTTATACGGGATAAATCCCTTCATTTGTATAATATGCACCTATCCACATTTCTTTACTAACAACAGAAGTAACACACAACTGCAACTGCCACAGAATGTAAAGACTGCATAGTAAGTTAATTTCTAAGTGAATGCAAAAGTAAAGTTTGAAGTGAAAACAAGAGCCAGATGGCAACCCTCTCTTTACAGCTCTGTTAAAGCACTTATAATGTTAGCCACAAATAGCCTTCTTAGCAGACCAGCAAGCCTTTTAGCTTAGGCTGTAACTTTTACTGGTGTACTTTGCAGGAAGTACTGCCTTGCCTTATACTTCACGCAATCTTGCAATCCGACTATGTGCAGGTTTACTAAAGATATTTCTATGATGTTTGCTAATGATTTATTATGCAATTGACAAGAAACTATTGGGAAATGTAATTAATGACATCAGTCAGATTGTAGGTGCATACAGCCATACCTACCTGTAATAACCAGCATGGATGGACTACACCCTCAGTACCTTCCATACCGGTGTTAGTGAGCTCTGCCTATGCTACTGGGCTCATAGTAGCGAGAACCCAGTGGTGGAGCAAGAGGCAAGTAATCTGCTGTGCTCAGAGCCAACCTCCTAGGACAGAAGGGAAAGGCTCCTTTCAGGTTGATGCTTAAGTGCACATGTTTGCACAGCGCTTTCTGTAAACCAAATCCAGCTCACAGACTCTTAGTCACAGGTAACCAGTGACATATGTTTTAGCTATTCCATGTATAATCCACTCAAAAAGAGGTACATGCATATGAACATGTAACCACAGTACAAAACCTCCATTATTCTACTGATTTTTTAAAATGCTTCCTGGATATAATCCGCTTGCTTTACTTACCACTGCAAACCCTCTATTTGCAAAATGCACATTGGTTTAAAACCACATTTCTAAAAAGTCAATACCTTGTACCTGCAGGCTGGTAAGGGTCCAAACACCCAGTAACATGCACCCATGTGTACTCAGCAGTGCCAGTGAAAAGCACTTGCATGTCAAAAATTTTGTGCAAGTATTTCTAATGACAGAGATGAGTATTTATTTCCCAGATAACACCAGAGGCAATTCTGAAAGAAAATACTATAGACAGTGAACTAATCACTGAATTTCAGGATCACTTCATCATCCAATCAACCAAAGAGCTGGAACAAAATACAGGACATTTTAAAATACATTTTATGGGTGAAGAAATTCCTGCTTCTCTTTATTTTGGTTAGTTGTCTATAATGTCACGGAGGAATAGAGAAGAATATTGAAATGATAGAAACCATATGCCAGACATGTCAAACTATATTATATTATTGGTCTGGATTAAGGCGTTAATACATTAGCTGGACACTTCTCTTGGAGTTGCTGCCTTACTCCCACTGGCAACAACAGGCTAAACTATCTGCCTAATCATTTATCAGAGGCCTTAAAAGGCACACACTGCAAAGCCAGTAAGCTCTTGCCAAAATACTCTAACAGAAGGAAAAGTCACACTGAATTCAGCACCCCTTAAGCTCCACATCACCACAGGCTGCCTGAAGCGCCAGGTTGTAGCTTTCAACAAGAACTGGAAAATTCAAAATTTGTATCAATATACTGATTAATTCAGGAAAAATACATTCTCTTCTGTGCTGACTGTGGTCAACTTGTTAAAACTATTCAAACTCCATTAAGCAGAACAGTAAAAAGACAGCTATTTGTCCCTTGCTATTAAGAAAATATACTGAACCAAGGTTTCAGTGTATCTGATCCTACTCTTCACACTTTTCTAAGCCAAAAAATATTTTCGCATCTCTCAAGGGTGTTTAGCATTTCATGGGTTGATAGGATTCTTTACACACTTTGAAAGATACAGCATTTAAAAAATATGTCTCCAAACGATATTGTATAATTGTCTCTCTCCTTAGAAGCAAAAGATGATATTGGGCAATGAGCTTTAATGAGTTGCAAAGGTCTCAAAAACATTGGGCAATCTTCCCTCAATCTTCCACTGGGCTCAGGAAAAAGAATGAACAAACCCATGATTGTTCTAAGATCTAGTTGGAGAAGAAACTGCAAACGTGCAAAGTGTCCAACCTCTGGATGCCAGAGTTGCTAGTTCCAAACAAGACTGTATCAGTATAAGCAAAAAGAATTATTGCTGCAAACTACTTGACGGGCTGCATTAATTGAGCCAGCAGCTTCCAGTCAGTAAGAACTCAGATGTCAAAAGCACTGAAAAAAAATAAAACAGTAATGGCGTTAAAAACAAAACTGAGAATGGTCAGTGAACTATTATGTCACCTTTGGATAGAGTCCTTCCAGACCAAGAGGTATGCCATGCTAAAAGGAGAGAGAAGCCACAACTCTGTTCAGTGTACCGGTCTCTAGTTTTAAGAATGAAAACTTCATTAATGCCTGAAATTTGACTGTTAATGGGAAGACAAAGCCATAAATCCTGTACTTTGCCAGCTCTCCACTGATTTTTGGACCTGTGGTTTTCTGGGGGAGGAGGGTATTCTGTTTTGGGGGGGGGGGGGTGTGTTTGGTTTTTGTGTTGGTTTTTTTTTTAAGATGGGCAGGCTTTGCTCTCCCTTTAGAGCATGGCAAGGAGAGGAAGAGGTGCAAGTCACAGGAGGAATGAAATATGTTTGTGTCAGACCCATTTGTTCACCCTCAGGCTTAGCTCAGCACTGGCTGAATACAGTCATTTTCCAAACTTGACTTTCTACTGTCAAGGCTTACATTTATTAAACACTTCTCATATCATTTTCAGAGTTGAATAGGAGTTCAAAATGTTCTGCAAACTGCTACAAAAAAGGTATTCAGATTACAGGGTCAGTGACTATATTTTCCCTTCTTTCTATTTAGTTGTTTTTCTTTTATATTCCATCATCCACAGCGAATATGCACAGGAAAAAAAGACCTGGGAGGCCAGGGACTGAAGAAGGGAAGAGAGGGAGTTGCGAACAAGAGCAAGAGGGAAGAGAGAGCTGGTGGGAACAGGGAATGTTGGCTTTAACTGGAGGTATTCCACATTTTGACAGTTAATTTCTGCTGAAAAATTTACTGATAAATGTATACACAGAGATACACATATAAATGTGCATGTAAAAATTAAATGGCAATTAAAGCAGAGACAGAAAGATGATTTTACCTTCCGTCTCTGCTAATTATTTCCTTATGCACTAAACACACTCAACCCAGGCACTGAACATATGTGCACTCATTGACAAAGTCCCAACTGTCAACACAGAATGATACACCCTCATGACCACAACCAAAATGGTTACACTGGCCAACGAAAACATAATTGTGTGCAACTGCTGCCAGATCCCAAGCTGACATGCAGCCCGTAGGGTTTCACTGAAGTCAGCGGGGCTGCATGGTGTGTTAAATGAGCTGGGTTGCCAGGGTTGTCCAAAGCTGTACTCTGATATGTGGTAACAGCAATGAGGTGCTGAGAGCCACTCCTGCTTTCGGGTACAGCTGTATCATTCTGCTGCAGATCCGAGCGAAATCCTGGACTGCAACGGAAGAGACTCCAAACCATGTACAGTGATTGTTAATTAAAGAGCAATAGCTCTTGTGGACAATTTGAATCATACACAGTTATACGCTCTCCCTTCACAGCTTCATGACTGACTCTCACAGATGGTGTGACTGTAGCAGGCATTAAATTGCATATAATTGCAGAATATTATTTTTCCCTTTAGATATTTCAATAAACCAATGCAACCTCCTATATGACAGCTGTATGTCACAAGTTAGGGCACTTCATGTTCTTTCATTGTTTTTAGTATCTTCCTCTGAGGATGAACTCTGACTTCTCAAAGATTTTAGGATCAGGGCAAGCACAGCTTTAAAATGTATAGCTGACAGTAATTTCATATTTTTTGATTATCCTTCAAGTAGAGGGAAAAACACTAATTTACACCAGAAGACTGTGAATAAATTTTGAGGACTGTTGAAAAATTACAGAATGGCAGACTTTAATTTAGAATAATTAATAGTCAGGTAAAAATTTTATCCACCTAGTTCTTTTCAACTTAAAAGGCTAAGTTTCTGGTTTCCTTTTCCTGTTGTACACAGTGTGGAGCTTTTGGTGTTTAAGACATTTCTCTCTTTCTGTCCAGCTGCTGACCCCGCCACGCTGGGACCTACAGCACTTTCTGTGCAGTCATCACTGAAACAAACAGCTTGAACACGATCAGCCCAGTGACAGCCCCTTCAGAAAGATGCCTGTTGAGGCTTTCTTTCACCCTGTATATTGACTCTGAGACAACGTATTTCAAACTCCTGGAAGCCTGACTTCCTCTGGCCACTCTACATAAATAGGAAACCAGTTCTGAACCTCCTCATCCTGCAGTACACCCCCACCTCTGTGAATACTTTTCTCACTCTGTGTCTGCATTGCCAGCACACCAGCATAGAAGATACACTCCATGCTTTGAGGAATCAACCGCCTGTTATCAGTCTTGCTGTACTAAGATGTGTATGCTAAAACTGTGTTACCTTTGCTAGGATGTTGAAATGAGTACTTTGTGATACTAGTGGATTAAATCATAAATATAATAAACTCAGTATTTATTAGGATAGACTTTATCCTTATCTATGAAACTATTACACTACAAAAAAAATCATCATTTTTTTGGAATTATTTTTGGAGCAGGAGCAAGAATAAGCAGACAACACAAACAAACCTTTTGGCAAGAACTTCAAAAACATGTAGATGGAAAATCAGTCTGATCACCAACAGAAAAACAGACTGTATTCTCTGAAGTGCAAAATAATGTAAAATACAGGAGGTCTCAAATTCTTTCAGCAGCTCTTTTACAAATGTCTTATTTTTACCAGAATTTTAAAGTTTGAAATCTGATCTCTTTATAATGAGTTTTTAAAAGACCCATTGCCTGAGTTAGAAGCATGCAGATTCAGTGTAAAAACAATCAGTGATTAAAGAATAGTTTTAAAAAATATATTCAAGAGATACTTTCATTTTAGGTTGGCGGTAGCTATTAGGAAATTCTTGTTCAACTCCACAAACATTATTAGCAGGAAAACAACAGCCTGGAATTCAAAATGAACACAAATCTGAATACTTCATTATTTTGTAATTGAAGCACCACCAGCTTTTCCTTAGCATTTGGAGAACAAATGTGCATGAAATCTAAAGGAATAAATATCCTCTGAAAACACAGTGAGCTGATGATACTGAGAAAGTAAAACGGTCCTTTTGATGAGAAAACAAAACCATTTTTGAGGTTAACTCAAATTATTCACATAGTTTCAATGCGTATTTTTTTTTCACAAACGGTCATAATTTGTACCCTTCACTTCAAAAGCAAAAGTACATTATTCTCCTTCAAATCTTATTTAGAAGGACAGATTACCACAGCAGTTTCAAATGAGATCTGCTGGAAATATCACAGCAAGGTCTGCTACATACAACTACTCTATGGTAGCTGGAGCAGGGATTTCTTGATAAATCAGCTGTGGAAAATACACAGGTATACAAATGGTCTGTTGTAACAGAAACAACAGATGGGTGTTGAAGTTTATACTCTGCCTTCTCTTCCATCCCTCTGTATCCCCACTCATTTCCTTATGGACAAGATGAGAAATGGAAATTAATGACCGAGGAGATCAATGGTGGTGATGGGAAAAAAAAAAAAAGTAAGAAAATCTTACAGCTGCGTTTTTGTACAAACATTCAGCCACTGTTCCTGCCCATTATTATATTTACCTCCTCATCCATGTGGGCCTTCCTAGAGTTTCAAATGTCACTGAGGCTGAAGGCAGAGTCTTTAACAAGTCTCTGCTTCCTGCCATTCTATCACCTGTAAGAAGTGAATACCATAGTGGTCAATTTCTGTTCTATCTAAATCTCTCCCACTTGTTAATTTCAACTCTGAATTCCCTTAATTTGTAATTGCAGGGAAGGAGGGATTGGTTTTGAAACCATTATTGGGTTTTTTTAATCACCGATAATTTTGTAAAATACATACTCAGCTTGAGGAAATTTTTATCTGTAATTTAAGTTAGACTTTCAGCAGCTCTCAGTGCAAATAGATTTGCTTTGCATTCTTCCTGCTTCGCTGTCTTCGGTTCTTCCAAGACTACAGTTTTTGTAATGTAACTGCTGCTTTTTAGATTAATCTTCAAATAATGTCATAGAGACCAGAACCTTGACATTCTAATCACTTTCTCTGTTAGCCTGTTAAATCCCTTTACGGTGCACTTACTGGTCCTACAAGCACAGAGTTCACTCCCATGCCAATGCTCATCTCCAGATTAGCAAATACAAAACAACTTCTTTGCTATTATACTTTATAATCCTACATTCAGATTTTCATTTTCTACAAGTTCAAGCCTTGAAAATACACAACAAAAGAAATTAGTGTCTTATTCTCCTTTCATGCAAAGCTCTATGTGTTTAATCAAGCACACCCCCCACATTTTGTCTTTCTATATGAAAGACAAATGCTCATGTTTTCAAATTTTAAAAAGCCATTTTTTTCCATCTCAGTAGTCCACCACATCTGGTTTTGACAGCTCTTTATGTAGTCACACTCAGCAAGGCTTTGAGCGCACTACAAAGTAATGAGTCTCAGTAAGGGTAATGCAACATCTACTAGATAAACAGAGCAGCTGTTAGGCACTTTACAATAGCTCACAGCAGCCCTGAACATTGGGATCTCTTTTACTGAAGGGGTGAATGTTTCCCAAGACCCTGAGGTTATTCACCTGGACAGCAACCAGAGAAAAGCAGAATAACTTAATCCCCTGTACATCTCCGACAGTGAAGTACCACACCACAGTATGACAGTATTTATGGCCAAGGAAAGACCATATAATTCATTGGAGTTTTTTGTTTAGAGAGGATTAAAAGTGCATTGTACTGCAACATTAGTTAAAATTAAAAAATGCAGAGACTGATTAGTTAAAAATGTGCTGAACTATTTTTTAAACCGGGTGTTAGGACTTAGAGGACTCATTCAATCAGAACTTGTCTCTTGTAGTTTCTTTGGTATCTTTTTTCAGGTTCGTAATAGGGTTGAAATTGTCCATCTGACTTTTTTTTCTCTTTCACCAGAACTACCTCTGTTTGGAAGCTCCTCCACCCCTTGAATTAAAAACATGCTCTCTAAGTGGTAGAACAGATGCACAGAAGGGATATTGGATGCAATACAACATTCAAGACAAAAATCATATCACTTAACTTGAAATGTTACATGAAATGAATCCTAGACAAAGTGTCAAAGTGCCCTGAGTTAGACCAGCTGAGAATTTGACCAGAGGTTTAAGATGAGCTATGGGCTATTTTACAGATGCCGAGCACTTCTGGTTCCCACTGAAGTCACTGGAAACTGCGGATGCTCAGAAGCAATAAAAAGTAAACCATTGTCTACTATTATTTTTCATACTTATACTGTGGGATGATTTGTATCATGAAATACTATACATTTCCTCAACGTGGCACCTTTCCAGCAGCTTTTGTTTCTCAGTCTGCTCCTGATTTTATGCCTTTATACATATACATGTTTCCCAGTAGAAGCCAACATTTAAAAACAATACAGAAATTCCCCTGCCTGAAGAAAGATAGAAAACTGACATGAGAAACTGTGATTACGCATGGGAATGATCGTTTCTGCATGACTGTGACAACACACCGTGGTGCTGACAACCTTGCAATCCTGTGCTGTGGCTAACAAAGAAATCCTCATAATGCTGCTGACCTGTGGTGTTTTTTTTCAGACCATCTTTCACAGGGCTGTAATCAATTCAGGCACTTTATCAGCATCTGTTTATTACTATCTCCCCACCGTATCTTTAGTTTTATTACAGTCTCTTCCCTCCCTTAAACTGACTGGACTAGATGTTATTCCTACATACAGTTCAAGACCTAAACGACTTCAGTTCCAACATGTTCCCCCCCCCCCCGATCAGTGATAGTCTTTCTCTAATACAATAACCAAAACAAAACAAAATATTCTAATTCAGATGGGACTTGAGGTAACATTTCATATCAGCAGTTTGTATTCCAGATCCCCATTTTACAATAATTCCTTCCCACGTGCACTTGGTTTTACCTTGTGCTGACTGCTTTTTTTTGTTTGTTTTAATTGAATTACACACTATTGCCCTGGACTGTTTTTTTTTTTTTTCCCCTACACGTACCTCAAAACACATCACAAGTAAATAAAACAAAGCTGACAAATCTATATTTATAGAATTAGCCCAAACAGAAGAGGACAAATCATCTTGCCCTCTTCAAGCAGACAAAAGACTTCTGGGGCCTGTTTGACACTCTTCTGTTCACAAACCAGTATTCTCATCATCACCCTGCTTGAATAGGTGCATACACTCCCCCTTCACACTGCTCCCAAATTCCTGTTCTCATCTCAGAGTCCTCCTTCTTTCTCAGGTCTGATGGTACTTCAAGAATGTGATTCCTTTTACCATAGACTAAGTCCTCCCAGGTGGCTGAGGACACACTGAACTCCAGCTTATGTTTAGACTGATGACACTGGAATTTAGGGGCAGGATTCACATCTCATTAGCTGCACAGTCTAGGAGCCAGGTGTCTCAGGTACACATCTTACACCTGTCTCTACATCTAATCTCTCTCTGCCATCAGGGGAGAAAAGGGGGCAGGATGGGGAACCTGACCCATCTCTCTCCACCGACTAGAGGAAGCCTCAGCAACTACCTTTGGTCACCAAAATTTTGCTCAGCTACTGTCAGCAAAGATGAGAGACCAAATCTAAGCTATGTCTACGCTTTTTCAAGGAGTCTCTATGAATATGTTTGAATGACTTGCAGTTTACTAAACACAGGCAGTCTTTTGCCCATCAGAAGTTTCTGTGATACATGTTTGTTTACAATTTTACCAGGTAGCTTAAGAGCTCATTGCAAGATTACCAGGCCTGTAGTAAGTTGAATACAGGAAAAACAAAAAATGCACCAGCACAGTCAGTGCAGACATATACAAAACAGGCTGAGCACAGGCAACTTCAGTTGTATGCTCTTTCCCTGACACCACTGCTCCTACCTTTTATGCAAAGATGTAAGGTACTAAATGAAGGATAATGTATAGCAGACTTTTCTGTGTTCTGTAATAGGCAAGCTGAAGGTACATTTCAACAGTAAGTAAAGAATAAATTAGAGTTAAGAGATTATTTATATCTGTATCAATACATATTCAAAGAAACACTGAACTTAAGCAGTGATTGCTTAATTTATGATTGGTACATACTATAACTTGGGCCAAAAATAAAGGCCACCCAGGAGCAGCTGCTGGTGAGGCACGCAGTGGTCTTTATTCCCAGCAGGAACACTTGACATAAACATGCTAGTGCTCTACACAGCATTTATTGTCAATCAAGTTACAGAGCTATTTAATGGTCTTTTCCCTGAACTTCAAAGAATCAAATTGGATAGGGCCAATTCGTCTCTGGAATCACCTTTCACTCTCCCTACCACATCTGCTGTGCTCAAAGGGGGTCCCTTAGGCTGACAAAGCTCAGGTTTGAACTTGTCACGCTGTAGGACGGTAAGACATTTCCAGTCATAGGTCAGTAATTATGGAACTTGCTTCTACATGAGATCAGAGTGAACCTTCTTGCCATGACTTGGTTTATATTTGAGAAATTAAATCACTTAAAATTTCTCAAGTATTTGCAGAAATTTTGTGTCCACATACTAAAAATACTCTAAAGGGCCTAAAAAGGAATCTAATAATCTCTTAGAATAAACTAGGTTCCAGCAAATGTAACTGGAAGAACTGTGCCTCCTTAGCTTCACTGTGGGTGAAGATAAAGGCAATCTTAACTATCTCTGCTGCAGCTAACACACTGCCCTGGAGGCCTTGACAAGAATCACACACCAGAGGCTTTAGGAGCAGAGACAGAGATTGTGCGACAAAATCTGGAATGCTTTCAACTAAGAAAAAGTAGGTCTAGGGCAAAATTTCAGTACAGCTAGAGTGACACACTCAACCGCTTATGCTTAAGATAGTCTAATGAAATGGGTTGAATTACAAAGACTGCAATTCAATTGCTGACACAGACAAGTCCTTGACAGTTCCCCAAGATTTTTTTTAAAGCTGTTGATACAGACAACTGTAAAAGAGCCAACAGAGAGTGGAGGAAAAAGGAAGGTTCTGTGTTTAGAAGAAAAATTGAAATGTTATTACTGACAGTGCAATAATGGGTGCCAGAGACAAGACAGCGGTCACAAGAGAACAAGTTATCACTCTCAGAACTCACCTCATTAGTAACTGAAAGAATTGACAGTGCAGAATCACAGTACTTCAGTGCAGTGTTTTTCTGGCCAAGATCTTTATAGCACTGAGAATAAAACACACCACATTTTGTTTCCAATCAGACCACTGTACAAATACCAGAGTCTACAAATCATAATTTTTAAAAGAACGTGCTTACCTTTGCCAAATACACATAATTGCATTTGGAATATCCCGGATGCATTTCTTCCGCCTAAATAATAAAAAACAGGAAAGAAAATAGACATAAAACTAGTGTGATGAGATTTATGTGGTCTGCGTACCACAGACATCAGACTGAATCATCCCTACTGTGTGCACTGCTGTTTAGCACTTAAAAAAATCCCAGGAAAACAAGAGAACTCCAAACTCAAACCCTAAACTAGGCACGAGGTGCTGATATTGAACACAAACAAATTCTGTTCTCCTTGCTCTCCACTCTCCCTATGTGCTTTGTAAAATCTCAGATCATTCCGTAGAATATCTATTGGATTAATTCACTTACACAGTGGGTTGTAAGACACTGCTCTCTCTAGATATTTATTTCCTTATATAAATATAGCAATCAACTATAGAAATAAACAAGCAACAACTATTCATGATTTGTGGAATGGGTTATGAACTGCATTCATCAACTGTATAGTTATTTTTCTCTCAAAGATCCGTATCTTCTAGCTCTAGGTTCATCTTTCTTTTTACATTACCATCTTCTGAAAAGTTCAGATTGTTAAAAAACTTCAAGATTGTCTTCCTTTTAAAACACATCAAGGATGTAGAAGCTTGAATGATGAGAATCTTAATTATCTAGTAACCAAGAAGCATCTTTAATCAACAAACAGCTTCTGAGAGAGGAAAAATTGTATCAGCGAAACTTATAGTAGCTGTAATCCTTTGACCAATGCTGCTTTCACCACAACTGCGTATTATCAGACAACTAAAAAAGAAACTCAAACAGCTGTCTTAGACATGAATTCATCTTTTGTTGCAGAAGATGACTTAAAACCACAGTTATTCTGCAGGCCACCACAAAATGGCCTGAAGCTAAAGGGAACACTTCCAATTATGTCTACCACCTCTGGAGTTTGACCTTAGAGATAAAAATCTCTTAAACTGGGAAGATGGTAACATAAAAATTCAGGAGATCATTCCGTCTTTAAATATACTAAAACCACAAAGAGTAAGTACTTTTGATAGTGAGTAAAGTATGCTTGTTCAATTCCTTTGAGAAACTGCCTGAAAGCAATTGCAACAGTGGAAGTTTATGCTTTGAATTCAGCCAAGTAAAAAAACTGTATTTTTCAGCTCCAGATTTAGAAATTATTCATATAAAAAACACTGAAAGATTTATTTTATTCATGTGGTGTTTTCTCATAACTGTGCATTGAAGTAGAATGGCCAGGAACACAGACCTATATGACAAGAGTTTTCTATTTCACTATAAAGGTAATGTCACCTCTCCAAATAAGAAAGGCTTCTACTGGAATTCAATGGAAAGAGCTTCAGTTCAGAAAAAGAGAAGTGTCACAATGTCAAAGTTTTTCTTGATTATCATTGGTTATTGCTATGGTTACTTTGTTTCAACAGCATATGTAACTCAGCTACATTCATCTCACATTAAGTCCAATAAATATTAATTGTGGCAAGTCATTGAAGAATTCCTTAAAATTAAAGAAAGAGAAGAAAGGTGCTAGCCACTCATCTGCAAACTAATTTTAAAACAGAAAAGAAAAAAATACTTTACTAGTACAGAGCTCTGTGGTATTTAGGAGAGCCCAGGATTTATAACTACTGAACATAATCTGTTGAAGCAGACATCTTGACAACAGTCACATACAGCAGCTGGTAAACAGTCACACAGGAAAACCTTTGGCTAGGACTTACCTTAAGGAAATTCTGCAATGCTTCTTCTACTGTTGATGTTGGTGGAGTCCCAAAGAGAGCAGCAGCTACTTTCTTTTCAATCCAAGACAACTGAGCTACCTATAAGAATAATATGTATATATATATTTATATTCGTTTGAGATGTATATATCAAAATATACATCTTTTGAGATGTATATCTCAAAAGTCTTTAGATTTGCTTCTCAGTTTTGGAATAAATATTGTCCTGTGCCACTGTACTACTTATACGACCTATTTTGCAAAAGAACCTGCAAAGGAATGTTTGGTATTGGCCATTTGCCAAAGCACAGTCTTTTAGATCTTTAGATTCTGTTAACAGGAAAATGTACATATTAAGAAATACATGACAAAACATCAGCATCATTCATTAATATGAGATTATTCCAATGCATAAAGCTTAAAGTACAGTTTAGGTTTCATAAGACCTTGAAATTTTTTAAAACCTAAGGCCAGAAATAGTGCTTTAAACCTGCTAAGGTTTTCATGAGACATTCAGTTTAGTATGACAGTCCACGTACTTAACTACTTTTCAACATTATGAAATGCTATTGCTACAGTCAAAATGTAAGTGCTTTTGGCTCTTGTATTAACAAGTTCATTTATTACACAGAAGCTAGTGACAACCACTATTAAGCTTCATATTTTCCTCTTCAAATCTGACAAACAACACTTGCCAAAGACCTCATTTCAGAAACATGGGCTGCTGTAAAAGAAGTGTAGGAAACTGTGATACTGCCACACAATATATATGACTTCTTCCCTTACATGTACTGACAACAGAAACTGCTCTGGTTACTGCCATAAGGAATTTGGCTCCCTCACCAAACCTGGTGAAACACACCTCACATCCCTAATGAAGGATGGAGCTGCTGTTTAAATGGGGAAGTGAAGCCACCCGCTTCATACACTTTACTACATCTGTAAAGGAAAGTTAGGACTTTATTCCTTCACATCAGTATTTAAACCACAGCACTGATGGCTCCTGTCACAGAGTAGAGCTGACTTTAAAAATGATAAAAACCAAGGGTCCATAGCAATTTATGGCCTGGTCTATGCAGAGGCAACACACAGAAGGGATACACACATGCAAAGAAAGAGAGCCTCTCATCAGAGAGCTGGAAGTGAAATATGAGTCACAGAGACAGCTCTTTTTCAGAGGAAACCGCAATTCAAATAACAGAGTTGAGCCTTGAACTCAAATCTGTCCTACTGCTGTAAAAATTAACGTGGCTTTGGATAGCTTTAGTTTATTTCCGCTTCATTCCCTGGCTTCCCAATCTTGTCAGGGCTGTTGCTGCTCTCCCCACCTTCTCCAGCTAAATGCAGCAATCCAGCAGATGTCAGTTAATTACGGTAAAATACAAGAATCCATCCACACATAACTATGCACAGCCATCAACCAGAATACTTCTCTTTTAAAGAGACATTAAGCTCTATGCATTTCTTGTTGCAAACTGCCCCAAAAATACCACTGCAATGAGTACAAATACAGGCCAGCATGCAACAGGAAAAGGCGTAGGACTGTTTTTTCCATCTGCCCCAAATGACTCTAGCTACATAAGACCAATATTGCTTGGAGACAGAAGGGATCCTGGTCAAGTCTTGCTGGTTGTTCAGCAGAGTCCAACGCCTTATTTGTTAAATGCCAAGAGTAAATCTTTCCCACAAAACCACTAAAAATTATATGCCAGAGAGAAACAATATTAAGGATGCTTCTCTCTCTCACACACACGTCCCACTGTTGAATTCCCTTCTAAGTGAATAAAATGTGGTTTACAAATGCTCTCCAACAATCCCACAATTCTTATTCATTGAAGCAACAAGATGTTTCCCCTCTCTGCACTGCAGTGCTTTCATACCGTGTTAAAAACTGCAGCACAGAATGCTGCACAGAAAGCATGCTGGTTAAAACTTCAAATTGTAGGTATGTATTTAATTCCCTCACACACTTAATTTCCCCAGCTGTTCTACAGTTTCTGAGGCATATTCCACAACAAATATAAAAAGGATTGTTGCAAAAGTATTGTTTTCTTCATGCCAATCTACTGCTGCAGGATTCTTTTGGAAAAGGAAGGGGATTTCTGTATTTCTAGGTTCATCACTTCAAGATAGAGGCAGCTTACAGATGAAGAGGGGAAGAAATAAAGGGAATGTATATGCACATACACTGCACAGATACAATTACCACACATGTGTCTGCTGTTATGCAATAGTGAGGAAACAAAATTGCAGTTTTTCCATGTGGAGTTACAATTACCTATTGAAAACAAAAGTTCTTCCTGGCAGTTGTTTTCTTTTCTTACAAGATTTAATCAGAACTGATTTACTGAGGTTTTAGTCATTATTTTGTCTGGCTTAGGTGCTGCTTTGCATTAGTCAAACTTAAAAGTGCAAACATATATGCACTTGGCCATTTTTATATTACAAATCCCACCAATCTAAAACGTTTAAACTTTAATGTTTAAAAATGAAATGCAACTATGCACAATACTGAGTTTTCTGTAAGCTGCGCTGTCTACAGCATTATACTTTGTGACTGTTACACAGATAGTCTGAGCTCCTGAATGTTTTCGGCAGTCAGCCTTACATACCACTGGCTTGAATTCATTGCAGCTAACTCTAGCCATCCATAAATGAAGTGCCTTGCTTATATGAGTTGTCCAGGTTCCTTGCATGGTCAATACAGTGAAAGGCAATCTCCCTTCACCTACATTAGTCTGGGATGAACACTCGTCTCTTTCTCTTCTTCCCTTCAACTACAAAAGGAGCATAGACAATTATACCTTGTGGATAGCTAAAGACAGACGAGGTGAATCCCATCACAACAGCTGAACCACACCCCACCTGAGTCAGTCTGCCACCTCCTATGACTGAGGTGGGACAAATGGAAAAGGCCTGTTTTATGCAAGACACAAAATTGTGTCCTGGAGCAACAATGATGAATAGGAAATTACACCCTTTGCCTAAACACACACAAGCACAGTCTGTAATTTGTAATAACTTTATTAGAGTATCTTACGCCACATCCACTGAAACGGACACATCATTTCTACTGTACCAACTAACTTTATTAACTTTATTAACTTGCTTCTGGGTGGAAGCAAGCACAGGCAACAGAAACCTTGGTGTAACATGCTCTAGTGTACTGTAAATTTGACTTCTGCAGTCAAGGTTGAAGTTAGCCTGGAGAAGAGAAGGCTGCATGGAGACCTCATAGCAGCCTTCCAGTATCTGAAGGGGGGCTGTAAGGATGTTCGGGAGGGACTCTATTAGGTGCTGTACTGACAGGACAAGGGGCAACAGGTTCAAACTTAAACAGGGGAATTTCAGATTGGATATAAGGAGGAAGTTTTTTACTGTTAAGGGTGGTGAGGCACTGGAAGGGGTTGCCCAAGGAAGTTGTGAATACTCCATCCCTGGTGGTGTTCAAGGCCTGGTTGGATGGAGTCTTGGGTGACATGATTTAGTGGGAGGAGTCCCTGCCCATGGCAGGGGCGTTGGAACTAGATGATCTTAAAGTCCTTTCCAACCCTAACTAGTCTATGATTCTAGGATTCTAAGGTTATTCCAAATAGTGCAAAGCGTATATGTAGCCCCATACAAAATCAAGAACCAGGAGACTGTAACTCTCATCAGCTTCACCAGAATCATAATTTCACTTCATGCAAGTTTCAAGAATGGTATAGGACAGCAGAAAATAATAAAAGCAGCTTCTCCAGCAAGTAATAGCTATAACAACAACAAAATTAAAGAATGAATACTGTCCATGCCCTAGAGATGATTTCCAAACCTAAAGTGAGTTTTGTTTTTTTAGGTCTCCCACGTCCTGACGTCAGTCCTCCCAGCAGCCAGAAAATTCACAAAAGCACTGCAAGGAACATTGTATTTCCATAGAATATCAGGTTATACTTATTGGGTCACAGGAGGAACATTGCTCCCCAGCTGCCATGGGGAGAGCTGGTCCCACTCTCTCAAGAGCAGGAAACCACGGTGTGAGGGACCTTCAACCAAGTCCTGAACTTTCCCTAGGGCTGGAGGGGAGGGAGTGACCATGACAGCCTGGCCTCTGCCAAGGAAAGGAGGCCACTCTTCAGTATCCCAATAAAGCAGACACTTGTCTCAAAGTTTCTCATATACGTTTGTCAAACAGCAAGCTCTCACCCATTTATTCTACTCAAATCTCTACTAGTACCAAAGATGGAAGAAAGCCACCCACAGAGTTAGCCTGCAGCTGACCATAAAGTTCATACCCAGCAAGCTCCGATCAGGCCTCTGATCCTCTGAAGACCAAGACAGAAAATATTGTTCTCCCCTAAGTACTGGGAAAAGGGATTTCCTAAAATCCCTTTCACTTCCTTAGCCTAGGATCAGCAAAAAATCACATATGAACCAAAACACTAGTTGGAATTTATTTTCCCATCTCCTCATCTTTTGATGAGATGTAAACCCTGCTCATTGATAGTCCTTTTAAAATCCCAGATTCTACTTGGATTGAAAATTCAGGCAATTCACTGACTTACGATCCCAAAGGATTTCCTCCTCCCATGTTTCCTTGTTAATAGCTCACTGAAGACAGAACACACGGTTGTCTTTCATAAAGGAAAATCATCCCATTGATCCAGCTTCAGTAAAATATTAACGGCATCTACTTAAATATCCCCAGAGAGTTTCTATTTCTTTTTCATTACAATATATTAATGTAAAATTATATTAAATAATTATGCAATGTTTTGACTTCTGGAACAGATTAAGTAACTGGACAGCAGTTTTCAAACACTGGCTTCCAACACAAATATTCTCTTTCTTGCCAGCTAAGGAACCAGGACAGTCTGCACAGGCATTTAGGCATTTAGACAACTTGAATTCCCAGGCCTTTTCACTTTCCAGTAAGGGGAGCAGACTTACAGAGCACACAGACAAAGGAACTGAGTCCATTTGTTCCCTGATGTACAAGGATTGGATAAACCAGTGATGCATCCAACACATGGCATGTAACCATCAAAAAGAAAATCCCAAGAAATCTAATTTTTAACATCCCACTAGCCTTTACCAGTGGCTCTGATCCAGATCCAGAAGTACACGCTAACTGTTCTGTGCCAGTCCTGTAGCAGCAAGTAGTCATAAGCCTTAACTAGATACATACTCCATTTTTTAAGTGTTCTAAGCATTAAAACACTAAAAAAGCCCACAAACACATAATTGTAAAGGATTATTAGATAACTGCACCCAAAACTCTAAGGAAAGAAAACTTATTCCTACAGACCATACACCCCACATCAACTGACTTCCAATAAATATTTCTTGCTGCTCTGAAGAACGAAGTAATTTTTACTTTCCCTCAACAAAGCTGAAACAGGAAAGGCTCTAAATACTGCACTTATTTTAAATTGCATGAACGAACCCAAGCACATATTTAAAATACTATGCCTTCCCTAAAAGCTATGGAATTAACAAGCCTGGTTTTGTCACACAAGGCCAAGCAGACAAAATTTCGTCCACTACCAAAGACATTTTAAATGGAAATTATTTTGCTGCCATTGCTTTTCTTTGGAATAGTAGCATTTCTTTTACACACTCAACACTGGTTTACTTTACTTACTAGATAAAGTATCTTCATTGTACTTATATGGTAGTATTCTTTTCCTAAAATTCTCACTAAAGCTACCCTGGAAAAAATCACCACTCAGCAGAAGCTCATATCAGCTCTGGAAAAAAGGAATATTAAAACAACACTTGTTAAGAGTTATCCATTAAAAGTGGTGTTCAGTTATGTTTGCTCAGTGCATAAATAAATGAAGGGTTTTTTCTCCCTTGTTACCTTTGCAAAACAAACCAGAAAACATTAGAATTGTATGTGGCTTCTTGCATACACAGGAAGTCTCACAGGCAAAATTGTGCCCATTGTGACATCTATGAAATGATTAGTGAAAATCTTGCCTACTTGATTGTGATTGCAGAAGTACTTTTTAACAAAGCTGAGGTGATACACACACCAGAACAGAATCTTCCTCATTTGTGTATCACCTGGCTTTATAATGGTAACAGAAATAAGAAACAGCAAAAATTGTGTTTTGGACAAGGTGAGAGATAATTCTGGATGTGCATTAAAGGCAAAGCCCCACTGATGCAAGGCAGTGAAAATGCAGCTCATCCTTCCTCCTGGAAGGTGCTAGGACACTTGGCATAAGCTTCAGATCTGGCCCAGCAAGAAAAACTGCTAAGAAAGAAACCTGGCATTACCATACCATTGCTCTTTGCAAAGGACCGTATTACACTAAGGGAAGGTGAGAAATGGCAGCCTCTGGCAAAATTTCTGGCAAAACTCCACAAATCAAAAGTTTTTACTAGTACAGCACACAGTCTCCTGATATAGGTTTCAGCCTTCAATAAATCTTCTCCATTTGTCCCCAGTATACTTTTAACTTTTAACCTAAGAGTCTGTTCAACTTCATTTGTGAAAATGAACTGGAACCTTGAGTTACAACACTTGAAGCATCCCCTTTTACACTATTTTATGCTTTACCTATTTTTTTCTTTCAGTTTGTGAGCCCAAAAAAGCAGCGCTAGAAGCTAGTAATAAGATCCCCCAACATTAAATGGGGAATGAATAGGAAATATCTGACTCTACTAGGAAGACTTAAGTACATCAGCTTTCCCCAAGGTGTTATCAAAGCCTGTAAAATATCAAATACTAGGTATCTTTTTTTAATTAATCTGTTTCAGTAAAAGAATATGTGACTAAAATTATACAATAACACCCCTGGAAGCAATACTTATGAAAGAACAAATATTGTGGCCAATTCTAACTTGACCCCAAAGTCAGCTAGACTAAATGTAAAAACTAACCTTCTTTCCTCAGTCATCCCTTTTTCTTCTTTAATTTCCTCACACTGGACAACACAGCCTTCCCAGACTCAACTGCAGCCAGACTAAACAGAAAAAACAGAGGGTCTAATTGGAGCATCATCACTCCATCTACAGGTACCAGTACAGAGAAGGAGTGATAAAGGAAGTTTTCAAGCACCCTATCATAACCCCATATAATGTATTTGGAACCAATGCCACAGCTGAGAGTCTACTTTTGGGGTAGTTACCACAGTATGAAACACCGCAGTCTACAGAACAGGACCAAGGAATCTGCCACATCTCCACAAGTTCCTACATGTACCTATATCACATGCACAGCCAAAACCTGTGTTAGAGGATCAGCAAAGAAACCTACTCATGCAGTCTGATAAAATGAATGAGGATATGATTCTATGCTCACTAACTTCACTGGGCTAGGATTAAGATCTAACTTCCCTAGTAGAGCCTCAAAACAAACATTGCCAAGTGATGGACTCATCCTGCTGCTGAAAGTGTGCAAAACACAGAAGTTATAACAAAATGTATCCAGTCCCATACTTTCATTTATTTGTACTATGCAAACTTGTTTTAAGTGCTTCAAGTTACATTTTGTCATGGCAGTCATAGAAGGCAAGAATTAAAAAAAAAAAGAAAATCAGAAACGAATACTTAAGTATTTCAGTGGCTACATCTGTTTAGGTGGATTGTTTCACTTAATAAAATGCAGGTCAGGTCATACCCTACAGCAAATGCTAACCTATGACTTTAATGTTTAGTAAGGAAGCCCTGCACAGACGTTACAAGTGTGAAACATGAGTTTGTAATGATAGAGGGCAACAAACTACATGCATTACTCAGTCAGGAAGTGGTGATCATCACTGAAATGAAACACAAGTTAAAAGCCAGTGCAACAAGAACAAAGCACGGTATACTGCGACTACATGTTAAGTTTCCAAAAGTTATAGCTCAAGTGAGAAATAAGCCATGAAAAACATCTGGGAGTATTTGACAAATATGGAAGCTGCATTCAGCTGTTGGACACAACACAGTATAAAACTGATTAAGGAATCACTAGCAAAAGAATTGCTCTTCAGAGGCGTAGCTAGCATACTCTAGGACAATCTTCAGCAACTCACTTTTGCATAGGTAATGCTGATAGTCAAGAATGCAATGCAATGAAAAGCAAAATTAAAAGCTCTTTGAAAAAGTTGGTGTCATTCCTTATTCAAATCAACTGAGAAAAAATGTAGCTGTTGAAAGTTCTTTGAACGTTAAATGTATGATCTGAAAAAACTGCTGAAAGATTACTTTGCATTAAGTCTTGTTGCAGATAAAGACAATGTCTACAATTTATCACAGCAAATCCTTCCCAGTCTGCAGGCACTTTGAAGTGACTGGCACTGAAAGCAGCTATAGGAAAAAGGCAGGGTTGGAAACCACTACACATTAGCAGTTGTTCTGAGAAACCTCCCAATGATCTTTTACAGCTTAGGCTATGCAAGAACATTTTATTCTGATGAAAGATTCCTCACAGGACTAGAGATGGACCAATAAGGACAGCCACCTGAACCATCAAAGGTGTGAGCTTAAGAATAATCCAACTCATATTACAAGCACCATTTTTCTAAAAATAATAATAAAATTAGTCCACAGCTAAATTTGTAAACCAATTACTTTATTTTTTCATATATAAACACTTATCACTATATCATTAATACAATTTTTAAAACACCTGCTGCATTCGCATAGTAAAAACTGTATCTCTTGAAAAATGTTTGGACAAATTAGAGGGATTTTTATGCATGCATCTTTGTTGTGACATTCTCCTGGAATTTACCAAGCCAATAGAGTATCCTTGCTGCCACAGACATAATCCCATGGCATGCAAGTGCCTTTAACTTCAGTTATGGATGGGGAATAAAGTTACTAAAAGGCTATGTTAGCAGAAAGTTTGTGGCAGAAAAAGAACTGAAATGAAGAAGTCACCCTTCCTCCATTCCAAATGTCAATTACTTTTCATTCATTCATTCAGATAAGAATTGAATACAACAATGAGGGACACACAAGCACAGCTTACTTGATGTAAGGAATGGTCAGCAGTTAACATCAGACATGTGGAAGTTAATTCAGGAAATGTTAATGTACTGCTTCCTTTAGCTCAAAATATCTACTTCAATAAATACCTACATTGTCTTAAGTCCCACTATTTCATTTCAAATATGTTAGATAAAATCCAACTTACTGAATAGCACCATCTTCCATTTAGGTAATATAAAAAAGGATCTTGAGGCTTAAGTTCAATTGCTTTGTCTAGATGTTCCTATTAGAAAGAAAATCAGAGTCACTTTCGATGTTTATGAGTGTGTTTACATTCTAGGAAGTTTGCTGCAAATTATATACAAATAAAAAAATCCTCTTTGCTGCGATTCCATTCTAACAACATAAAAAATATTTCAACCGGCAAACCCCTTCCTTGTGGAGGGAAACCACAAACAACATGATTTAGCAACTTTGCACACAATGCAAAAAGGCATGCTGTATTTACAACATGACTACACAGCTCTAAAGGTCAATCAAAGTACTCAAGAACTTTTGTCTTTAAAAGGCAACAACTTCCATTAAATTCACTTTATTTACAGTTAGTATTAATAAACTGTCACACACCAGATCAGTGAGAAAGCAATCACTCTCTTTGACAGATCTTACATGCCAGCACCCATCACTGAAACAGTCTCTTCCACCTTGGAATATGACTGCCCCAGTTAAATGGTACATGACACAGAAAATTGTTACTATAATGTGAAATTCAGAAAATAAAATAGTTCTGTTTACACTGAAACCATAACACATAGAAAGTATCTAATGAGGTGCTTCTTCCAAAGCCATTTTCATTAGATATTATGAGTATCTTCCTTTCTCTCGCTAATTTACTAAAGAAAGCTCTTATTGCTCAAGTTAGAAGAAAAAAATGAGTTACTTCAGCCCTAACTAGTATCTGCCTCACAAAATGAATTTTACTTCTAAAGTTTCATTCCCCACCCCCCAGTATCTGTTTTCCTAATTAAGCCAGTCACTAAAATATCTGAGTAATACAGATCTAAGAGCCTATTGTTTTATCATTTTGTTCACAAAATACCCAGATAGGAGCTATGTTTTCATGCCCCAAATCCTGAACATTTCAAAATTATTCATATGGATTTCAGTACTTCCTTGTGAAAAGGAAAACCTCCCTGAAAAGGCTACTGCTAACACTGCAGGCTGTTTTAAAATTCCTTCCTTAAACAACTGCAGCACTTGTGTTATTTGTCATTTTCCCTTCGTTATTCCCAGCTTGTCCCAGCTCAGGGCTTAGCTCTCTTGGCACAGCTCATGTATAATTAATGCTCTCTTGTAGGAAAGCTCCGTGACACTCCAAGCCCTAACACAGACATGATGTGATAGCGATACATCCCTGGCATTCCTTGGGAAGTGGAACACATCTGCTGCCTTTCACTGACATCCAGAAAGGGGGGGATGCTGGCTGGGAGGGCAAGGGATGGAAAGTGCCTAAGCAACAGCAAGGACAAGGAGTGGAGGGAGTAGCACATATAACACAAACTGATAACCCTAAAAAAGACAATTACCTTTGAAAAGAGAGTGTTAAAACAAACACTACTTTTTAAGGGTAGCACGAAGGATGATTGCAGAACTGTGTTAGCTCATCACTTAATACTTCATGGTTTTATTTTCTAACCACAATTGTTACTCCCTTTCCCTCCGCCCCCCTTTTGACTACAAAATTAAACAAAAAATCTTAATGCTGTTCCCAGAATCCTACCTGAATTCTTATATTTTGTAACCATATATTTGCATACATAAAGATATCTTTTTTATTTTAACATTGACACCAAAATAGACCTGTGAGGCTGAATTACTGTCTTGGAAAAATCTGTCTTTGACTATATAAGGAAATAATTTAAAGGAATAGCTTTAAAAAAAAAAAAAACAGAAAACCCTACAAAAACATACCTTAAAGAGATAACCATTCCTGATTTTGTTTTGTACACTTTCAAACTGAGACATATAGCCACACATAATTGCAAACCTGAGAGGGGAAAAGAAAAACATACACACATACTTTTCATGATTTAAATAAAGCTTTGAATCAAATTACAAAATATTTCAATACCTAATTCACAGATTAACACCTTTTTTCCATCTTGACGGCTAGACAGAAGTTTGGCATGAGTGGTACACAGTCAGGAGCAGACAAAAAACAAAACAAAACAAAACAATAATGGAAACAAGAAGAAATTTAAATGACACTATTTGGGCTGTTAGCAAACTGATAAAACAGGGATTACTCCTCCAAAATCTCTACCATTTAGTTCAGAGTACAACACTTGCAGCCTGGCTCCGCACTGACAGCAATTTAACTGCACAGGCTGTGCTCTGCAGTGCTATGCACTAGGAACGTGAACACCATCAGTGTGGTACCTCACCCAGAGAGACAAATCCTTGGGACATGCTTAGCAGTAAGCTGTGCAGACCTCAAAAATCATTCATAGTCATCTTCTACCCTTCTCAAGCACATTGGTGCATTTCTGCACCTTTAGCGTTCTTTTAATAACCTTAAAATTATTTAAAATCATACACTCACATTCTGCTCTAACAGGATTGCTACTGCTATTATTAGCCTCCCATTGCTAAAATTATTAACGTAATTACTATTGCTATAAATTTGGGACAGTGATGGGACACTGACAGTGATAAAAGAAATGAGATCATTTCTATTAAAAACTTGTATTTTTAAACAAATATAATTGAAAATACTTTCAGAGGTGCCTAACTATAAAGATTCAGATTTCTAAGCAAACGAATTGTCTTACTATCTGTTTTTTTCCTTAGCTTTTTCCTAATTACTTCAACCACTATAGTACCTACCATGTATAAGGAATCTCCTGCAGACATCAGTTGTGCTATTGTTTGACGTATTTTCATTGGTATTAAGAGAACTGCATTTTTGTACAAAACTAACAGAATCACCAAATAGCTATTTAAGCAGCATAAATTAATACAGGTTATTTCTATAAATTTTTCAGAATTTTGCTTTTGTATTAAAAAATTTATAATGCAATATCAATTGAATTGAAAAATCAATCCTAAAAGAGGGAAAGTAAGTTGAAGTCCAGAGGAAAACATGAATTGTACAAGAAACTTATCAAGATAGTTATGGTAACAGAAACTCAATCTGTATAGCACACATGGTTTTCAAGCATTACTAAACCCCATGTTTCTTCAATTTCTTTATGTAATGTAATTATTCAGGCTCCAGTGAATCCTCATTAAAATGTCACTGCTAATAGAACTAAAGAAACCATTTTACTGCTTACAGTTACAGCTGATGGTTTTAAGATAGAAATACTCGTGCTCCAGGTTGTGTTTTAAGTCAGTAAGTGTTCCCAGGTAATACATGCAAGTCAGCATAACAACAGCAGCTGAATCTGTAAAAACTCCAGACAGACTGTTAAACGCTGTAGAGCAGGATGCATGTTGTGACCAATGTGCACTGAACAAAATCTGGCTAATGGCACCACTACTCCTGACAGTTAAAGCTGCGGGGGGAGCACCTTTTGTGTGGGAATGAGCTGCAGCTGAGGGGAAAAGCAAGAGGTGGGGGTCAGGAAAGTTCAGGTATTTAGAAAGAGGGGGAAGGTACTGAAAACTTTATTAGGCTTAAGTAACTCATGCAACATTTCCCTTATTCCCTTCACTCATTAAGTGCTAATCAGATAAACTCAGCATACCATAGCTAAACGGATTGCTGCTACAAAAGAAAACAATGAAAAGCGAACAAGCTAATCCAGCATCTTGCAGTATTTCCCTGTCTGTGCGTGACAAGAAAGAAGTCCTTAGTTTAAACTAGTTCAAAGAGAAACTTCTACTTACAGCTAAAATCTCCGGGGAGGGAAATCCCAATAAAACTTCCAACGCATGAAAACTAAGCTAACCTACCAGTTTCATTATTTTTTTTCAAGGAAAAAGTAAGAATGTCTTTCATGTCTTAGCATTTTTTTGTTGTTGGGGGGGGGGCAGGTTGTTGGATTTTTTTGTGTGTGTTTGGTTTGTTGTTTTTTTTTTACTTCATACTTTTGAACTGGGCTAGGCAGGCACACAGCATAAATCAACTATTAATTTTTGGAGTTCTATGGCACTTCAGAGATTCATTCAATTTTTTTAAAAAGGGTGGGTTAGCTTGTGTTTTGGTTTGGGGTTGTTTTTTCTGGCACGTTGTTTTGTGTTTTGTTGTTGGGTTTTTTTCCTTTGTTTTATTCCCCCCAACCCCAACCCCCCCCCCAAAAAAAGACTTATCAGGCACTTTAAATAATTTTCAAAGACCTTAAAAACAAAGCAAACTTTATTTTCACTGATGCAAAGGGTAACATTAATCTTAGAATGGTTTGGATTGGAAGGGACCTTAAAGCTCACCCAGTTGCAACCCCTCTGCCACAGGCAGGACACCTTCCACTAGATCAGGTTGTGCCAAGCCCCTTCCAACCTGGCCTTGAACACTGCCAGGGATGGGACAACCACAGCTGCTTTGGGCAACCTTGCCAGCGCCTCAGCACCCTCACAGAGAAGCAAACGCTCAGAGAAAACGAGGCCGGCGCTAACTGCAAATACTAGCTGTTGTCTGGTTCAACCCCGACACCCGTTCCGAGGCTCCCGGCTCAGGTCTCCGCGAGCGCCGCCGCTGTGCTGCGCCGGGCATCCTCATGCTTCCCGCTCCGTTGTCACCTGCCCCACCTCGTGGTGACACAGGAACACGGCAGGCAGCCACAGCACACGGCCCTCTCGCAGCTCGGCTACATCCTCACCTTGTGCCCTACTGTAAAAATTGGGGGCTGTGAATTAAAAGATAATCACACAATAACGTTCAAATTCCCCGTGAAACTGATATACTGTGCATATCCCTTGTTAGAGCAATGGATTCTGTTTTTTCTCACCACCACTGCTTGCCTTACGCCCTTCGAACAGCAAGATTAAAATACCACTTACAGTACCCACACAGAGAAAATAAAGAAAAAAATATACCAACTAAGTGCTGCAAGGAAGTGGCATAGCTGGTGAGCCAGTGGTACTCCTGGGTAATGTGAAAAACCAGCTGCAGACATGTTCATCTAAATAAACATAACGATCATAACCTCATTAGACAGGCACAGTATTTCTGTTAACATTAAAAAAGGTATTTAGGGTGTAAGGAAAGTTACTGAAAACAGTGTAGAAGCATATAGATTAATCATCCACAATTAATATTCCTTTTCTAAGCACAAACACAACCAAACTAACTCTAATAAAGTCAGTACCACATCCCTTTGCTGCTAACAGTATCACTGAAACTCAGACTCACAAGAAACTGTAGTTGACAGAGGTGGATGCAGAGTGCCTATGTAGCCCTCACACAGAGGGATCCAAATCAAGATGAATTAACAATTTCTCTTCTAGTGTTCCAGAACTGCTATACATATTCAGACAAGGTAAAACTGCAAGGGACATACCTTGCCTGATGCAAAAGGCAGAACAGTAGGTTGATCCAGTGAGTTTTATTAAGCATGTTTGCAGGCAACCTGAATTTTAGTACAAAAAATGCAGGAGATGCTACCAGCACTTAGAGTCTGGCAACCAGAGTTTATTCCATACGAGAGGAAAGATTTAAAAGTTTCAAATAAAGATTGAGCCACATTAGGAAACTCAAATACAACAAGTTTTACCTTTTCCCTAATAAAGTTCATAGGCCCAAAATCAGAAATAACATGCATCTTCTCAGGCTTGTTCCTCCCTCTTCTACATCCCCTTCCATGTATCCCAACTCCAGAAACCCCTCTTATTTCATGTAGACTTTGGAAATGTGTAGGTACAGGGCTTACACTTGGAATTCTAGGTCTCTTTCTCTTCTAGCAGCCCATTATGGACGAGAAAGTTTTTCTTAATTGTAATTGCTACAGCTTTTGTGAATGGGAAGTTTGTGATATTTACTAAAACTAAATAATTAATATTTTTCATACCTCTTTCACTCTCTCCTCTTCACCCAAGACACATCTGACATACAAGGCAGTCTGAGTAAAGGCTAATGTGTGGGTAGCACACAAGAGGTTCAGTGAAAAAAAGTTCATTCCCATTCCAGTTCTAAATGTGTTCCTTCATCTCCCCATCTCTGCACAGCTCAGAGTCCTGCGCATCCCACCTTATTTCTTAGCCAATGACTCTCTCCCTTACCAGTTTAACACACGAATTTTGGCAGTCTGTAATGGAGCCAGACCTTTAGGCTTTCTTTTTAACCTGACTTCACGTGATACCAATTGCCACATAAGCAGATTTTGCAACTTCTGTGAAAATTTATGATCCCTGTTGCATTACCCTTCGAGAGATCACAGTTTTCAAATTGTATCATTTTTCTACCATGGTCTTTAATCTATAAAAATGCATCTGATACTAAATTTCCATGGAAAAAATAAGGCATTAGTTTGCTAGAATTTTCTTCGTGCTGGTGAGGGTATGGAAGCAGTGGCTAAGAATGTGAAAGACTGCCAACATATAAAGTAAAATGTGCATAGGTGCAAAGTGAAGTCTTTAGGTGGGGTTTTGTTCATGATTTTTGGAAATTTTTTGCTTGGATTTTATTTTCTTTCTTTTTTCTTCTTGGAATACAACTGAGTCTACACTGTAGAAACTGGCAGAAATACGGTTTTTATATTAAAAATTCACCAGAGCACTGAAGCTGACCTCCAGGCAAACATCAGATGTAGCACACACTGGTACAGGTGATGCTTGCAAAAATATGGGAACAATTCCATGCACTAGTTTAAAAAAAAAGACATCTCAGAATTGTCTCAATAACTTATTGCAACATATACAATATACCATGCGAAGGAAAAATGCTGCTGTTCATGCACATCCACAGAAGTTCACCAGCAGAACATGTGGATGCCACATTCTGCATTTCTGTGGAACCTGCAACTGTGTTAAATTTCTGAGTTCCAGAAATTTAACTTTTATTTTTATAAGACATCTTTAGTGCAAATACAATCCTGAAGAAATTAGCAG